TGTTAAATAAACCTGGAAATGGTTTTCTTAGGGCTTCTTAAGTGAATGTTGCATGCCCAGTGCTTAATCTACTTTTAGCCAGGCATGCTATGGCTTGTAGCTCAAATCATCCTATTTGGGTCATGGGGCTACAGGAGGACATAGGAAAGAGTCTTGGAGTCTCCATTTCTTCAGCTTTAGGAGGAAGCAGAACTCTAGTAAGGCATCCCAGCATGATCCATTTGTCTTGGAAGAATTTCATTAGAGCTTGGCATAGATAGCTCAGTGGTCTAATGTTCAAATAATCTAGTGGCCTAAATGTATGGAAATGTGTTGATTGAGAAATAAGGGAATGTTGCTGAAAAGGGAAGGAAAAATGTATTTTTAGCATTACTCTTCACAGTATCAAGGTGATCATTTCTACCATTGTCTTCAATATTACTTTGTCCTTTTGAGTATTCTTTTGATTATTTTTCTTTTCAGTTTTCTGGACAGTGGCTGATTACTGCAAGCACCCATGAGAAGAAAAGCCCAATGATTACTCTGCATATATTTGTATGCATGCTATGTCAAAGAAAAACATAAGATCTGCTCTTCTATGTAGTGAGGTATGTAAATGACGTCTATATATTGTGGGAAGATCTTTCAAATTTAAGACTAAGTCATAAACATTTGACCAAACACTATTGAAAGTTTTAAGTGGGCAATGCCGATTCACTTCTCTGGGTCTTTTTCTAGAACACAAAAATTCACTGTCAGGTTCAAGTGTTCCCTTCTGCAGATGGGTTGTTTTGGGAGCTAGGAATTCACATCTCTCTGTGTCTTTTGCACAGAAAAACATACTCAGCCGTAGACTGGGCGTTGCAGTTCATGACACCTATCTCCCCTTTGCCATGATCAGAACACCAGCCTTTGTATGCATGGTGGAGTCTGATGGGAAAAGTAACATCAGCTTTCTAGTGTTCAGTCCTTTGTTCCTGTTGATCACCAGCTTGCATGAATCATGTTGTAAGTTAGAGTTCATGAGGCCATTGTGGTTCTGTTGTTGGCTTGGGGCTGGATATGAGTTGAGTCTATAGCATGATCTGTAGGGATGTTTTTATGTGATTTATAGACAGAATAGATGGGTGGTTTCTATCCCTTTTTCTGCCCTAACCAGCCACATTGACTTTGGAATGTCTGTTCATCTTCTGAGCATGGATGTTTTCTCAAGTAAAGTGGAGAGAAGGTCTTATTTGCCTTTCTCCCCCAGCCAACTATCGTAAGGATGAGATGAATGATTATTGTAAAAGTGCTTCTTCAGATGCCAAGTGTTCCGCAAGCACAAACCACGGTCATCAGTAACTGTGACAACTGTTTCTTCACTATCATAAGTAAGGGATGATAATTGCCTTGGAAAGCCACAAGTTCTCCAGACTCTCCGCATGGAGGTCTAATTCTTGCTGGAGAAGATGTTCCATGTTACATCCAGTGTTTCTGATTTTAAAAAATCCCAAATCTAGGTGGACTCCAACTCTGTCTCTTTCTTTTTCTTAGTCAGCGGCGCTCTGATGAACCCAGGGCTTTGTTCTACCACTTCAAGTGTTCTAACACTTGAACCACATCCCTAGTCATCCCCAGTTCCTTCATCTTTTTGGTTTAGTTTAGTTTATTTCCAGGTCCAGTTTTGTGATCTCCTCCCCTGGTTTCCCCTGGCTGGCCTTTGACTGCAGTCCTCCCATCTCTGCCTTCCCAGAAGCTAGGATTACAGGTATGAACTACCATGTAAAGTCCTCTAAGTAGACTTTTGGATTGGGCCCTACTACTTGTTACTGTCGTAGTCGTTATTTCCCTTTTCTGCGAGTCCACTGGCTTCTGCGATTGATGCCCAGGGACCTTTTTTGTTTCAGCATTCAGGAGGTGGTCTCTTGCTTTGTCATGAGCCCACAAAGCCAGAGGCTAGACAATGGAGAAACTGGGTCCCTGCATTGGCCCTCTGTCTTCAGGAGCTATGTTGTGGGAAGGGTGCACATTTGCTCAGGGCTGGGCACCTGGTAAAGCATGTGATTTGTCTCTGGTTCCATTTTACCTCCCATTTGGAATTCTGCTTCCTCCTCTAGTAATGTTGGCTTGCCTCTTACGTGCCAGAACTAGCTCAGTCCAATAGAACATACTCTGATAATGGAGTTGTTCTAAATTGGCCAATATAGCTATTGGGCATTTGAAATGTACTTAATGTAGCTATTGTAACATTAGAAATTTATTTTATGTGGCTGAGAAACTAAATCTCTCTCTCCTCCTCCCCCTTCCTCCCTCCTTCCCTCCTTGTCCCTCTCCCTCTCTCTATCTCTCTGACTCTGTCTCTGTCTGTCTCTGTCTCTGGTTCTCTGTCTCTCTGTCTCTGTCTCTCTCTCTCTCTCTCATGCTGGGAAGAACCCAGGGCTTTGTGCATGCTCTGCAAGTTCTCTACCAATCAGCGACATCCTCAGCCCAGCCTGCAAGTCTTGACAAACACTGTAGTATGTCAAAGCAGAGGCTCAGGTGATAGGAACTGTGGGACTCTGGCAGAAAAGTGCTGTGGGTGAAAAGATAATGGGCAAAAATCTTTAAATTTACTCCAAAAGCATACCCAATGTATGACATATCCTCCTAGGTGCTCTGGGCTGCTTCTAAGCTCCTTCTGTCTTGTGCATTATGAGGAGTACAGTTAAAATTTTGTGGATGGAAGCCTGGGGGAAGAACCAGAAGTGGAGAGTTGGAAAGGGCAGAGCCCAGAGGATGCCAGAACTTTTTCAAAAGAATCTGGTGTGTCAGGTATGGTGTTTTGGAGAGGAAATGCCAGGGAAAGATTGTTGGAAAGTGATCTTTACCATCAGGACAAGATTGGAAAGTTGGCATTTAAGTCAATGGCCAGAAACCAGTGTACAGGCTACATGACAGAATCTGGGATAAGAATTGCAATTCTACTCTGAATGCTAAGCCTCCTTTTATGAGGATTGTTGATTGCACAGCATTCCTTGATGGACGGTGGCTTCTGGATGTTCTATGTACCCTGAAACTGGGCTATGTTTCTGTATCTCTTGGCTGGTCATATAACTGCATTCAAGTTCCCGCCTGTGTTTTTTACAGATATCTATTGGCAACCGAAACACCAAGTGGTGAAGGGGTGGAGCATAATAGGTAGCTAAATGGAGGTGTACTAGGAGATGGGCAGGAAGGGCACAGAACAATGTCATGCTTTGAGATTTACTCTTAGGGCCTTGGTTCCTCAGTTGCTACCGCAGGGAAATTTGCTGCCAACACCTACCTGTTGGGTAATGAAAAATGGAAAGTGGAAAAAAAAGGTTTCTCATCAAGGTACTGCCAAGAATTGGTGTCTTTGTGTTTTAAAGTGACACATTTTATAAGGAAGATTGGAGATCTTTGGCATAAGCACAGAAGGAGAGAGAGAGAGAGAGAGAGAGAGAGAGAGAGAGAGAGAGAGAGAGAAGGCAAATATCCCTGGCACTGTGCAATGCAGTTCAGACTATACTGTTCTGGACCTCTTCAGCTTCCTGGCAGGAGGACTGTCACAGTTTTTAGGATAGTCCTTTTCATTCTCATGTGTCTTTCCCTCAAGTAAGCAGCACAGAGCATTTAACACCAATATACACAAGCTCAGAAAGGAGAAGAAACTCATAGAAATCTGGCAAGATTGATCCACTAGTTCTGATGTTCCCAGAGTCTCCAGGGCAGAGCTTTTGTGCCTTCAGGTCCTATGATTCACAGCATTTGGGTGATTTATGACCTCCTTTCAGTAGATATTTGCTAATATTCACTACTAATACTATCAATTTTAGTCTGTTCCCATGACAACTGTCCTCCACCCAAAAGGTCTTGCTGGTGGGACCCAATTAATTTAGAGAAGTGGTTCTTCGGGATATCTTTATCCTTCACCTAAGGGGCATTTAGCAATATCTGGAGACATTGTTCATACTATTGAGGGTGGAGGATTGAGGCCTTTATAGAACCTTAGGCAATTGCTGGATATTGTTGGTTGTTAAAGATGGAGGTGAGGTGTCCCATTGGTATCTTTAGCTGGGGAGGGGGGAGATAGAGATATTGCAAGTATTCAACAACACACACCACGCTTCCTACAACTAAGAATGACTTGACCCACAATATCTCAGCAGTGCTTCAGCACTGGTTCAGAGGGAAAGGTCAGACTTGACATGGAAATGGCAGATGGATCTCAAAAGGATATCACCTTTTCATTGTTAGACTAGCAAATATTGTGAAATGGCCCGAAGAAATCTCTGAACATTTTTACCTAGAATCCTCTTCAACCAATAACCTAATTAGTCTCCTATCTTTATAGTTCATCACTGCCTCTAAAAGAGAACACATGCTTAGTGGTCTATACCATGCTCACTGAGAGGGTTCCCAAATCCATCTTTCTATCTTATATTCACTAATGCAAACCATGACATTAGATTTTACTATCTGCTACATGGAGCCATAATACTATATGACCTCTTTTTTTTTGCAGTCAGTTCTGGCTCCTTAGGGTCTTGTTGTTGCTAGTAAATGGGGAAGATTCAAAGCCTACCATGTATGAATCTTCTCTATAGACTTGTGGTGATGATAGTTTTAGCTGTGACAGAATTGTTTTTAGGAAAGTAACAACAAACACAATCTTTCTCTTTCTGATTATAAAAGTAATGCAGTCATTGTCTGAATTCTCTCAAGTACAGAAACCATAAGCAGAAATAGAAATCCCCTAATTATACTACTAGGAGAGATTAACTAATAATGACTTTGGGTTTTGCTTTGAGAGAAACAGAAAGTGATGGACACCAGATGTCTCAAGCCAGGCTAGCTGGGCTGTGGTGGGGAGGATTGGTTTATTAAGGATTGGAGGATGGCAGAATGACTTGAGTGGACAATGAAAGGTTTGAGATTATATTCTTTGTGATCTAGGATGTTGAGTTCATGTCTTGATCTGGATAAAATGGAGAGTAGGAAGATATGGTTGAGGAGTATGGGGATGAAGTCCTTCTTACCTGCAGAGTTCATGTACAAAGCATCCTTACTTCTTGCCTCCATGAATAGAAGAAATTAGACTGAAAGAAAAAAAGAACAGCTTTTAGCTCAAACAGAACAAATCAGGAGATGCTGTTTCTGGGTCTTTGTGCATCACATACAATGGCTGAATATCGTCACATCAGTGAAAGGCATATGACAGCTCTCATTTTCCAGAATTCCTTTTTGGCAATTTCATTGTGAAGTAGTATCAATCATAAACATTTGTAAAAAAAGTAACAACCACCCCCAACCCAGATATCCTAATTGTTGATATTTTCACCACACTTGATTTAGCATTCTCTTTCATATTTATGCACAATTTTCTATTCTTTCCAAATCATCTGAGAATATGTTATAGTCATAACATCTCCTTTGTCCCTAATGATTTCAGCTTATTTTCCTCAGAATAAGACATTCTCTTACATAAGCACAGTGCAACTAACATCATACAGCTAATATTGTCCCAGTATTGATAGATCCATAGATGTCCTCAAGTTTTGACAGTCATGTGACTTGTGATTAAGATTGTTTAGAATTTGATCCTGAGAGACTTTGAATGACATTTATTGACAAATCTTGACACAGCCACAACTGAATTGGGACTTTGGCTACTGTCACATAAAGTGCAAAAGTATGATTCTTTCTCAATGGTTCACAGATGCATTATCAGGAGAGTACTTTTGAAATGTGAATGACTTTTCCTGATAAATATTGTTCACTGGACAGTGGTTCATAGGCTTACATCACCAGCAATCACAGTTCTCACGTTGTTTCTGTAAGGACTTTTGGCTTTTATATGAATTCTTATGTGAAATATAAAAGCCCCAAACACCAGACCGAGTAGTCTGCACTTGTGGGGCATGAAGAATAGCTGTTGGAGGTATGTATCTGCATTCAAACACATGCTTTTATGACTTTGATGCAAAATAGGTCCATATGAATAAAACTGGCTTTCATGCATGGACAGCAATTCCTAAGTTATTGGCTAATCATCTCAATGGAGAAGCTGTCCAAACAAGGCTTTTAAGTCATTCCTAAGTCTTCAAACGGCAGCATGCAGAGAATTATTTCTTGAGAAAGCCAGTACTGAATATTCTCATACAACTCAGCTGACAGAGAAGGAGGTGACTGGCAGGAAAGTTGTGATGGCTAGTGGAGCTTCTGACACTAACACTCTCTCACCGTCACCTACCAATGTGTCCATGTGTTCATGTAGGCTATAACATAATGAATTGGGAGCCCAGATATCTTTGCAATCAAAACCTATGCAGTGATACGGACCATTTGAGCATAAAATGTCAAGCCACAAGGCATTTGGTAATGAGGTGTCTGGTGAAGTGAGAGATCATGAAACAGACACCTGGGGCAGAATTCCTAGAAGCTACCTTTATTTATTTATTTTCTCCACATGATGTAGTGACACTAAAATTTTCATTTCAAAAACTAAATATTCTAGATTGTATTTCAGATTGTAGGAATTACTTCAGCTCTCTACTTAATAATGTTCAGTTCAGACCCAGCTCTGTTCCTTTCTGTTATATCCCCTCAAAGACAGCGAATCTTTATTATGCTCATGGTGAGGACCTTGAGGGTTTGGAGCTGCATGGGGGTAGAGTGTCTGGAACACTAGACAGAACTGAAAGGACTTGGCTGCAGGAGGTCATGAATCATTGAATCTGCAGTCAATGAAAATGACTAGTGAGTGCTGGGCCTCAGGTTCACATCATTCACTTACCTTTCATTTCTTCAACATGTATTAAATGTCTAGCATATCACTCAGCCCTAACCATTTTCTGGTTATACCTATTACTAATCTCCTTTGGTTTATAGATTTGACTCCAGTGTCTCTATTATCTTTCGCTTCAAATAAAGATCTACCCACTGCAGGCAGAGGATGGGAGATAAGCATATTGGGGGATCTCTTTCTCTCTTATTTGACTCTTGTGGCTTGATTCTAGCAGCAGCTGGGTATCTCCTGCCCTCTTTTATAGCCGCAGTTACCACCAATCCTGGGTAAAATTCACCTTCCCCACTCTTCTTTATGTAAAGAAGTGGAGACAAATTCCCTTATTCTCTCAACCCAATCCACAGATATGTAGTTTCCTCATTATATTCTCTTAAAGTCTTAGCTGAGTAAAAATCAAAGCAAGAAAACATCCTGAGACTGGTCTGGGAAAAGGGAAGGATAGGAGAGAAAATGATTGAGGAGTGATTCTGGTGCACTGTATACATAAATGGGCATGTAAACATGAAATGCCCTTATATATCTAATGGATGAGAATAAAACAACAAAAAGACAACCCCTCCTGGCTGAGTATACTAATCTTTTTCTACCTGATAGCTTTTGAGGCAGCCCTCAAATAAATGTAGCATTGCTTGTGATTGCTCTGGGAAGGCTAGAAAGATGTGATGTTTTGTATACACTTTCAAACAATAGTATATTCCAATGCAGAGTGGGCAGACATAGCTCCTGGCAAGAAGATCTCAGAGGTCTAGTCCTTTATATGCTAGAGTGTGTTGAGTGTTAAAGGCTTAATCTGGTCACAGTGTGGGAAATATTTCCCCAAGCACATGGAGGTGACAGTGTGGCTACCTGACTCTGCCTTCACTGTGTCTACTTGGAGTATTGTGCTGAGTTCCTGGCCACTGACTTTAAGAAGAGACATGTTTCTTGTTACTTGTCTTTAAGTTCTGTTCCATAAAGCAGAAGTTTAAAGAGTTTTTTCTCCCTCCCTCCCTCCCTCCCTCCCTCCCTCC